CTCGTGAAAATATTTCAACGTTTTGTAAAGTTGTAACTTTATTATAAGTCCGTTTGTAAAAAACAATGACTTCGAAAACTGTGATAAATTTCATCGTATATACACTTAACGTCACCATATTATATTGTCTTATACTCAGTTGTCATTCACATACGACTGACCAGATGATTATAGCGAGATACGAGCTCGAGCGGCATTATGCATGTCGACGAGCACGTTGACACTTTACCATCCGATCTGTATACCGTTGGACACGCCGATTTATGAGTGTTAACATCAAAGATTATCCAACGATTCACGTCAATGCTGAGCAAACAGATCGGCGTGCTGTAGTGTCGCATTGTGTAGGCGCTTTTCAGGGACGGTGAACCACATTAAACACTCGACCGGTACCCAATCGGTGGTACAACAGCTTCACCGATTTGTATGCACGAGATCGAGTTTAGAGGAAAAGACCAGCTCGGCCCGCGGACAGCTTTGATCTCGAGCTGTTTTACCGACTTTGTTAATTGAATACATACAAGTATACACGCGTATATATTGTATACGTCTGTGTTATACTCACACGGAATAGTAATTATATAGGATGTGAAACAACTTACCAAGGCAGCGTTCAGATGGAGCCACGCTCTCGTGTTTTCATCATGGCCTTTTTTTTTATAGCGCGCACTTTATGATTCGCGCTATTACCGATCTTACGTAACGATATTACACATACCATGGATTTGTAGATGTTACGTTTTATCATTCTATAAATAAAGCGCCTCGGAGTAAGTACTCTGTGCTTGAGAATCGTGAGCGTCGTTATTTCAAGTTTTCGAGTTCACGACCGATACCGATACCGAGCGTGTTATTACGACTCTACTGACGAAGCTCCGAATCAATTAATACAAGCTGAAATCTTCAATAAATTCACGTATTTTACTCACTTTTTTTTCCCAGCAAAATACAAACACCGAAAAATCGGTAAAAACGATCGATCGGTCAATGTGATAGTATTAGAATAGCGCAGAGCCTGTATACAATGTAAGCCGCACAGCCTTGAGTATGTAATTATTCGACGCTTAGCGATCAATTGTTACTCGAGTGCAGCTTGTGTCTGTTTAGCCGTGGCTGCAATTAGCTCTAAGCAGATTTGTGTGCATTCGTCACGTAACTCGGAACGACTCGTTACGCAATCCCTCATACCTATACACGATTTTTCATCGAGTTCTTCTTCAATTGTCACGTTGTTCTTTGGTGATGAACAAAGCCACAGCCATAGAAAAAAAAAAAATTATCTAAGAAATAAAAGTTTGGACAAAAGAAATCGATACCTACGGCACACCAGTCTCTAATCCAGAATCGCGTGCCGCTCGTTAATCGGCTTTGAGCGAGTATCGCGCGAAATCCGCGTGAATTGGATTAGATACACACATGCAGAGTACACACATGTCGATGAAAAGTGATGAAGAGGAAGTTAATCAAATTCGCCTGGCGCAAAGGAGAAGAACAGAATAGCGTTCGCGTTTCTCGCAAGGTAAGCAGTGCTTGTATAGGTATATACGTGCACGGACACGGCTATCGCATTACCCGCACAGGCCCCACGTGCGAGCTACATCACGCCCACACGCACACTTGATTCCAGCTCACCTTGACGACCATCGCTGCTGCAGCGATACCAGTGTGTATGCCATGTATACCTGTGCTATATAAAATGGTATACCTATACCAATGTGCCGGCCGGCGTTTTTAATTGAACACGCAACAATAATGATTAGCTGAAAGTAAAAAAAAAAAAAAAAAAGAAATTCTGCTAAAATTGGCCGATGATCGCGTCATTGTCGTGCGATCGAAAGTGAACGGAAGTACCCGCCAATTAAACTTTGTGCCAAACAACCTTCTCCTCGATCCGTCGGTGTATATATATATGTTATATAAAATGTAAAGTACACGAAACAACGAGGAAGCGAGAGGCAGTGGTTCACGTGCGTGCACCTGCTGCCTCGCTATTGTCTCGACACTTTTGGTCATATAGGTGTACATGGCAAAAAAAGGCCGTGCGTTCACACGGGGTGCACGGTAGTATAGTTGTGCAATTAACGCGAAAAAAAAAAAAAAAAGAGGAAAGGAGTATTAGCTTCCACCGCGTCAGTGGAAGTGACATTAGCGCGTAGGCGCTCGTGCATACGTGTTATACGCAGACGAGATTGTTGATTATTAAGTATAAGTGTGCCTCGTTAAGGTGGCACGTGGCTTGTCGAACGCGAAAATTCAATTTTTTCGGGTGCTCGTGCCGGTCGATCGTTTGATGAGGTAACTTGGAGTTTTGGACGCACAACCATGTTGTGTTTACACATTTTTTTTTTTCTTTCCTTAAACCACTAAAGACACGGTTGTACGCGCTTTCGAGAACATTGAGAGGGAAAATAAAGTTTTATTGACATACTGGAGTATGTTGTGCGTGTGCTTGTACCTCGATTGCAAACAAGCAGGACATTTAGTTTCGCGTGTTTGACAAACGGAGTTGATAAGTTTACATAGCACGATGATTGCACTTCTACTCGGATGATTTACATTTTCAAGCACCAAATTGTTTTTCCTTGAGGAGAAAAAAAAAAAATCTGGGTGCTCAGAAAGTGGCCTAAAAAAATCGGCACAAATCGGTACAACGTAAATGTAAATTTTATCTGTACCCGACGATCTCGGTAGGGATGTTTATTTTTGTATTCAGGTTGACAATTAGGTGACGAATCGACCGATTACAATTCGCTGCAGAAAATAAAGTCACGGGTGACACACGGAATGATCGATTCGAGACCAAAGAGGGCGAATAATGTCAATGGACTGCTGTGTATGGTAGAGGGGGAAAAAAAATAATTTTGGAAAACAAACAGAAGAAAATCAAGAGCACGACACTGGCGGCAGGAAACCTTGATTTCTTTTTTCTCTCTCTCTCTCTCTTTCTTGTCCCGACCTTAGCCTGGTTGTTGTCAACCGAGCCATCGAGTGATGCATTTCTCATGAATGTTCATGTGCTCGCTGATCTCTCGAATGCTCGTTGTCGAGAAATACCGATTTTGTTTTTTCTTTCACCGATCGTCGGATGAATTTTGAAAATCCATCGATCACTATCGGTTTTATAAAAAAGACTATGCCTTTTAATTTTTTCTAAAAAAAAAAGTATTTCGCAAGTAAGTAAAAACAAGAGTTTCCACCTAAATGTATTTGAAATACTGATAAAAACCGAAAGTCAAAGTCGAAAATCGCTTGGCAACATCACGCGACGCAAGAAACCATCGGCAAACTACTTTGGCACACTCCAAAGCGTGCGTGTGTTCGCGTTATTATACAATCGAAGGAGCGAACACGCAATACCGATACCAACACCGCAGTATATATCCCGAGAACAGCTATCATCGTCAGGAGAGGAGGAGCGGCATCGGCGCCAAATCAATGGAAACTCTTCGATAAATCAATGAGCGCTGTACTCCAAATTCACAACGAGCCTCGCCCATGCGGGTTTTCGCGACTACAGAAATAAGCGCGCTACTGTTTTTGTCCATACATATTATACTCTTTGTTATACGCCTGTCTTACTGTACCAGGGTGCATCTACTGATTATTTTATTTATTTATTTTTTTTTTTTTTTTTTTTTTTTTTTTTTTTTCTTTTTTTTTTTTTTTCCATGGGGAAAAAAAACCCAAAGGGGGGGGGGGGGGAAGCCACTTCCGCGGAGCGCACAAAGCCTTTTGAAATGTAAATCGGGAAGCTGACGCCACGCGCGCTCGTCAGTGCAGTATTACACCGTCGAAAAGTGGTACTCGTGCGTATCTCGGAGTGATATCTTTGTGCAAAGGGAGCGGGCGTTGAGCTCGGATTGTCTATATACATGCGTGTGCTTTTTTTTAACAATAGGGACTTTTGGTGAACAGAATTGCGCTTTTGTCAGTCGAGTTCTTTTGTCGATCGCGTTGTAGGACGATGATTGGTGGGCTTCTTTTATAATCACGATTTTGTTTCTGCTTTTTATCATTGCTTGTGACTTATTTCCGGATCGTTAGGGGAAATCCATCTTGTTTTGGACACACTGATAAATTTTCAAAAAAAAAAAAAAAAAGATTTTAATAAACCTACAGTTGCAAAGGAGTTATGTTCAGGAAGGTATTGCAATCCTCATAAAATAGAATAAAAATGATTGCTCTTCAAGTAATTTTCAACTTGCAAATCTATATGACGCACACAAACATTGGCGAGAAAAACCTTTCAAATATTCAACTCTGATCAACTTTTACTGACAGCAAAAAGAAAAACCCAACTACTTGAAGCGAATTACTCAATGATCGACGACACCTTTGGAAAAAAATTCCTTTTTCTAACGCGTTATTTGTTGTTAGTAATCATTTGTCCAACTAGTTACAAATTGCAAAGCCAATCGAGGTAACGAGCTCCCGTCTACGATCGTAATCGAATTTTTCGCACGAGTCATCGTTACAACCAACAGCCGTAACACACCCGACAACCAATCATTACCGAGAATCGCTCTAATTGCGGCCACTTGCGCTCAACCATCATTTTTCGAGCTGCTAAAACATACAACTCACCACGCCGTGCACACAAGCTTCGCGATTGGGAAAGCGAATCGAAAGGAAAGAGAAACAATTCCGCATCGCGTTGTCGAACCAAAGTACCCGTATAGATTGGCTATGTTCTCTTTTTTTCCCCTTTCCACGCTCCGCGAGTGATAATGCGCTGTGCCAAATGTACACGCTTTACAGCGATGAATTGAAAACGAAACCATAACTACGCCATTCGAGCTTTACGATATGTGTGCACTACACGCGCGTTGGGGTAGTATACCTGCATGTAGCTGCGGAGACCCGATTTTCGCCGACCTAAACACCGTAAAATGCTTACCCGATCCCAAACAATCGCCTATATACAGGTCGCACACGAAAAAAAGAAAACAATCGATGCACACCGCGATCTGAATTCAAAACGGAGAAGAGAAAAAACTCACCTTTAGAGGCTTGTCGATGCCGTAATGCCCTTCGTGTATCCTCGAATCGTAGTTCGACGACGTGGAGTTTTGCCTCCTGCCAACACACGCGAAACAAACGAGTTCAAAAATAGTGGGGAAAAAAAGGAAGGAAGAAACAGAAGCTCGCGCGACACTCACGTGAGGAGATCGGAGCCATTGGTCGTTGGCTTTGGCGACTGCATACCGGACCTCGAGGCAGGTGTGTGCAGCGGAGATTGACCTTTGCTCAGTGGCTGTTTCATGCTGAAAACAAAAAAAAAATCAAATCGAATAAGTATTAGGACAAATGTAAAGTAGGTGGTTACATATGCCCTTTTTGGGTTGTGTTTCTCTCTTTTTGTTGTTGTTGATCATTTGCGCTTGAGGCTATTAAGGTTACCGGTATACATTTCAGACACATGCACGAAAGAAGAAAGCAATTTACTTCGCATCCGATCCGACTCTCGCTTGAAATATAATTGGAGTCTTGAAATAGACGAAATAAGTTGTTTCTATAAATTAAAGTTTCATGTATTCGCGTGTAGAAAAAAAAAAAAAAAAAAAAAGTTCCGCAACTCAATACACGTACGCGGCGACGATCGTTACAGTCTCAGTCGATCGATCGGTAACATAAAAGCCTCGATTCACTCGTCACGTGTCGTCGTCCTTACAAATGTTACCCGTGATTGATTGCTCACGCACACCTGCTACGGTATGATAAATACGCCTTATATATCATTTGCCGATTTATATATATATACATACATACATACATATATGTATATATAAGGTTCGGTAGTTTTTCACAGCCACACGGCGTTTTCCAGGTGTTTTCTCCCCTTTCGGTTTGTTGGGAAAAGTTTGCAAGAAAGTTTTTTTTCATGATTGAATCCAACGCTCCACGAGAGAATTTACGAATAAAATAAATACCCAAGCTCTGGTCTGTTTGAATTATTAATACAACCGATTGTTGTTGTTGTTGTTGTTGTGGTTCACTTTCGAAATGGAAAACACATTGCGTTTGAGCGATAACGAGGGGGCGGTAGGGAAAAAAACAAGTCCACCACCGATATGCGTTAGCCGAGGCTGATTAGTTATAACCAATCCATTTGTCGCAACTCATCCACGCGTACACGGCGATCGACCTCCCACCTACTGTCATATTCCACTGTAAAAATAAATCACGAGAGGTACTCAAACGCGCAATTTGCAGTTTCGCGCTAAAATTTCAGAGGACAGTATAATAAAAAAAACATATATATGTATACACTTTATAGCCAAATTGTGCCGCGTCACGTAATATAAGAGCTCGAGCGCGATCAAGGGATCCCCTCTTTTTAATATCCCGGTATACGTACAGGAGAAAATATACTCGACGACGCTTAATGACCAACGGTGTTTTCGTACATTAATAAGAAGAAAAAAAACAGTCGTCCCCCACTCGCGCAACGGTTAATGATAAAAAAAAAAAAAAAAAAAGTTCACACTCTTTAAATCGCGGGCAAGAAAAAAAGAAGAGAACCACAAAAATACACAACGATGAACCTCATCGCAAACGGAATTGTATACCTATACGATACAGTTTAGGGTACCGCGGGGCTATTATTTACCGGCTGACGCAGGGCGGCGTGCTTCCCGCGCTCCTCAGACTGCAGGAGCTACTGTGATGGCTGTTGGGGTACTGCGGCTGGTGTTGCTTGCTGTATACCGGCCGATTGTTCACGGACACGCTGACCCGCTCGGCTATACGGAACCGCGGCACTGTTGGCTTGTGGTACATCATATTTATTTTGTCGTTGGCTTCACTCACACTCCGCGGAGCTTAAAATCTATGGCCCCTTGCAACCTTACCTATCATAGTATCCATGATGGATCACATTATAGTTATCGGATCGGTCACTGCACTGAATTCTGTTCATCGTGCCAATACTAGGGACAAACTCACACACGGCTGTAGCACTGCGGTCAGCTGGGACAACTGTGTCAATGATAAACACTCGATTTGCATTTACAAGCCTCGTCGCATAGGGGGGATCTCGCGTCCTCCTCTTCCACCTCCCATTCGCGCGTATTATAGACGCGTCTCCTCCTAACAATCCCAAGAGACACCGATCGGATTGTGTATATTTTTTTAAAGACCGATATCAGGTATATAGATACCCTTTTCCGAATGTATACGTTTGTATATATAGGTTGGCGACAGGAAAACGAGCCACCACCGCACGCGAGCGCAGGCAGACACCGAGTGGTTGTACAGCCGCTGCCGCTGCAAGAAGCGGCTCCTCTCGCGCGCGCGGCAAGTATATCATATACCACGTTCGCCGGTTAATGCCTACGTCTATATAGAAAATAACGTTGCTATACTTTGCTATGTATCGGATGGCTGACTGACGAGCGCGCGTGGGTGTGTGCAGCGATCTGTATTATCTGGATTTTTTGTGAGAAGGGCCATCTGAAACGTGATATCGAGGAGGATTGAAAAAGGTTCGAGCTCGAAAAATAGACGAAATCCGGCGCGGCTCGTTGGATAATTATACTCCAGTCGCACCTTATCACCCCAAGCGCCGACGAAAAAAAAAGAAACCGCATCTCCATCGCTTCAAAAATAAACCAAAAGCCCTCGTATTATAGGGGGAACCCTCGCTCCATCCACACTCGGATCTAATCCCAAAACGAGCCGAGTCTCTCCATCCGAAGGAAAAACGTGGCATCGGAAATTTATCGCGTGCGACTCTTGGAAAATGGCTACCGGGATCGGTATCCGTTTGCGGGTTGTTTTTCGCGCCGAGCGCGATTTGTCCGGCATGATTTTACGGCGAGTTGAATTTCATCGCTCGCCAATCAGCTCGTAATGGCTCTGATCGCGAATCGTTGGCGCGCGGTTTTACGCCGACCGGATACCCGATAAGCTCCATCTTTAATAAATTAAACTCGTTCCCCGTGAAAAATCCTTGCTCCGATAGCCAATAGGCGAGAAAAAAAGCAGTTCGGAGCGCCAGAGGAAGGAAGGGCGAAAATTCCACAGCGGGGAGGAAGATGCCGCGTATAAATAACGCGGGGACGAGGAAAAAAATCCGCGAGCCGTCTAGCAGCTGTCGCGCTAAGCTCGCCCGTTATGTATACACCTCTCTCGCTTCTCGTCTCGCGAGCACACTGCCAGTTATTCGACACTCTCGTACGATCCTTCCTCGCTTCCCCCGGCGCCCTTTTCCGAAAAGCCTTCCCGAGAGTTTTACGGCTCTCGCGAGAAAACTCTTGCTGGAAGGGGACCCCTTGCTTTTCCGCGTATTGTGATCGAAAATAACCCCGGGACTGTATATACTTCCGTCTCTTCTTCTTGAGAGACTCTATACCTCCTTTTTTTTTTCTCGGCTCTGTTGAGTATATTATATTCCCTAGCGATTTTTCGGTCTGCTGGAGAAATTGATTACGTTTGTTATTTTTCAACTCAAAGAACAAAAATTAAGTTTCACCAATGAAATCAGGGGGGCGTTAAATTTCCCTCCGTCTTTGGTGTTGCTTAATCGAAGGAAAAATTACTGCAGTTAATCACCGCTTATTCTTGGAACCGATCTTTCTTCGGTTAAGACGACCGGCAAACAATAGGAGCACACAATCGAGGCGCGAATAGATGAAGAAAGCCGGTCTCTGGCACGAGAGAAAAATCTTAGTCACGGCAAAAAAAAAACCCGAGAGAAACGCTCCTCATTTGCCGAGCAAACGATCCGATAAGATCCTGTGTGTACGTGACTCTCGATCGCCAACGTCGAGTCAACGAACTTTGGAGCTTTTGACGGATGTTTCTCGCGAATCCTTGGCAAAACGAGTACCGTAATTATAACGATGTCCTCTTTTGCGGCTGTACACGCCCACGAGTCGGACTGTATATGTGAGAAAATCGCGGATGCGAAATGTCGACAAACGAAACCATCTCGAGTATGAAAAGATGCACGAGTTCATCTGTATAGTTCGAATGAGAAAAACATATCGTAAAAAAAAAAAAAAAGTTCCTGTTTATCAGCATTCGGCGAAAAAATTAATTCACAAGCACACAGATCGTAAAGGATGACTCGGTCGCGATAAAATTTTATATCAAAACACGCGGCAAGTTTTTTTTTTACTTCTTTAAACAACGCGTACCCGTTTTTCTTATTAAAAGCATGGATCATTCTTTTTTTTTTTTTTTTTTTTTCGCGCGGCAGATACATATTGCCAAGACGATTGATAAACACTCGTGTGATACCGGATGTTTTGGTGGTAAGCCGATACATGAAATCGTACACTTTTGGAGTGAACGACAAAAAAAGCATAAACAACGTCGTATTGACGTTTCAATCGAGCGTACAGCATTGTTTCGTTGTGGTGAAAAATGGCAAAAAAATGTTACATATTAACTGACACTTCTGAAAATTAATCTTGATACATACTTGGTTATCAACTTGCGTCAATATGTCAAGTATACTTTTTTAAGCCATGTTTGAATTCACTTTTTCCGGGACTCGAACAACCATCAATGTGGGTGCCCCGATCAACTGAGCTATCGTCCCATAATTTCACGAATTACTGATTGATCTTGTAAACTATGTCATTAACCGGTCACGTAGAGTACCACCCTTTAAAACTGAATCCAACACGAGGGTGGCAATTACCACCTGGTCTTGCTCCCCAAGGCACTTCAAACGCCGAAAAAATATTTGAAAAACCAGCCAAGCATGCGATTATGGCACCATCTTCTGATAAAATGTATGCTTACATTGGCGCACGCGAGAACTGCAGCAGGGAATGTCTCGCGATGTGCTTTGATGCATATAATACATATCGTTTGCTGCAGTGGCAAACGAGAAAAAAAAAATTTACGGGCAAGTGGCCAAGGGAAGAAGGCGCCGCTTAGCATTTCTCGCGTAACTCTCGATCGTCTGTGTACGCGCGTTAACTTGTCTCGACTGTCACTTGGTCTCGGGCCTTGTTTTTCATTGCGCCAAGTGACGAGGAATTCAATTGATCGTGGTTGAAAAAAAAAAAAAAAAAAAAAAAAACCAAACNTCGTGGTTGAAAAAAAAAAAAAAAAAAAAAAAAAATGGCCCAAAATAAATAATCATCCCGAGCACCTAGAGTACATATAAAAAAAAAATTACATGTGGACTTACATAACGCTGCATAATTGCAAAGCTGAACAACGAAAAACTATTATGGTCTCACGTAAATTTCAAAATCCCTATTCTGCCTCTCGAAGCCGCGGCACCTTGCACGTATAAATACCCCCATAACGATCGCACTATATGCAGCTACAGCGTGTCTTATGTACTTGTACATTATACGCGAGAAATAATTGGCGGCGTAAATAACCCTAGCGTGCACGAGACACAACGCGCGCTCGTTTACTTCTGTAAAACTGTCCCCCGATACCTTTGTACCTACTGTACCCGTTGTTTTTCAACACGTGACGCGTGTAGTACATATATACGGCAACGCAACGGATACAAAGATGATGGTGCATCGACCTGACCACAGCTTTATGAAAAGCGATTGGAAAAACATTTTTTTTTTGTATACAGAATACGCACAGACGGTGAAATCATTTGTTAGGAATTATTTATACGTCTGAAATGTGGGTCAGTGAGAAAGTGTATCTGCTAATGTGAAAATCCTGCCCTCGTATATGCAACATAGCTGCGGGTTTCGCTAATAGTAATCCTTGCGTCTCGAAGTGCATGAATCTTCCGAGCGGTGCAATTATATCGGGTAAATCCGTAAAGATTGTTATAAATACAAACCTGAGCGTTCAAAGTTAAATGCTCGGCCATTACGAGTAAAAGTCGGTGAGAAAACGATATCGCGCGAGTTTCAGCTGTTACGAGGGAAAAAGTTACACGTTTCGCGTCGAAAAACTCTCTCTGCGCGGTGCCAACGGAGAATCCTTCGGAGAAACATCGGCCATTCGACGAAGAATCGAGTCCGCGTAACACCTATAGTAGCCGAAAGAGGAAGGAAAAAAAGGGCCAAGGCGCCCAAATACGCGAGCTCTTACTCACATCGCGAGTACAATCCAAGAATAAGCGGCGCACTTGACATTTCGCGTCGCGATAATTTTAGCTCCATTCACGCGGTCGCCGCTGCGGCTCGTCTTACGAATTTCCAAACGAGCGCGCGAATCATCCCGTGCACTTGTATTCGTTTCGGCAGTTCGCAAACGTGCACTGTCGCCGTGTATATATAGTACGGCCGACTCGCGGAGCTTAATGAGATCGTTAGGCGGATTTTTCACGCGCCGTGTGGCTCACCGGTTTTTATTTATTTTTCAGCCAAAGGAGATTTAGCGCTGAAAAAAATGTGTGTCGTCTCTGTGCGATGTTTTTCTTCGCGTTTCGGCCTCAAAATATCAGTAGAGGAAGAAGGATAACGCCCCCTTTTTGTCACGAATTGATCATTGGGGGAGTTAACGCTCGCGAGTGAAAATAATCTTTATCTTTGTCACCCACTTCCTTTAATTGTACCAAGTACTTGCTACTTTCATCGGTGTCTACCTATGCACGGTTATACTTGCACGAGCTTGCTCGCAGGTGTTGTTCTTAGATTTTGAATATGTAACCCGAAATTCAGTTCTCGTGGGTTTTTTTATAAAAAAAATATATTTTTCCATCGTTTGAAATTTAGAGGATTTGGCAAAACTTTAGTTGTTCGGTAGTGAGCGTCATCTCGGAACGAACGATGCAACAAGGCAACTCCATACCCGTACCTGCCGTCGATAAGGAAGGTCGCGACATGATGAAAAAACACTAGCTCACCTCTCGTTCTGTAGCCTATTGTTGATGGCTTGTGGATTGATCTGGGCGGTGGACAGTTGCCTGACGAGCTCATCCCTCTGCCTCTCCTTCTGGGCTATCGTCTCCTGGAGTCTCTGCTTTTGCTTCTGGTACTCCTTGAACAGATCCCCGTTGTAGCTCTGCTCGAGGTGTACCGGTGGTGGCAGCTGCTGCGCCACTATCGGCGACAACTGCTCGACCACGCCGACGGGCGACGCCACGGCAATGGGCCGCACGAGACTCGTCTCGACCACTTTGCCGGTCACTATGCCCGTCGGCTTCTCCGCCAGGGAGTCCCGCCTGGAGCTCCGGGCCGTCGACAGGGCCGGCGACTCTCGACCCGGCTGCCGGCGCTCTGGAGTCGAGGCAGCCGACGGATCCGTCTTTATCACTGAAATCGAGGTTTACCAGATTATTGGTGTTTATGGCAAAAGTGAAAGCAGCTCCGCGTGTACGCTGCATTCCCACGACCAAGTCAGCCCCTCCCCATCGAGGAAACACGTCATTATCCATTGTACCACGCTACCCACGACGAGACGCACGAGAAAGCAAAGGAATTTTTTTTTTTTTTTTTTTTTCTTTAAATACCCATAATATCACCTTCCGGGCTCCTGGACTGTCCCCTCGTTCTCGCCGGGGCTTGGGACTGCTGGCCAGCCGAGTTGGCCTCCTGTATCGAGGGCAGCTGCTGGAACTCTGCGTAGCTCGAGCTCAGAAACACGTCGCCCTCGTTCTCGAACAACCTGACGCGAAATATGCACATTACAAAACTGTATTAGCGAATCGAGGCTTTCTACAGGAAAAAAAAAAAAAAAAAGTCACAATGCCGGGAGCGCCGATTTCTCCGAGATAATGATGTTAATCGGTACGTATGTGCAACAAAGTCATGGTCTCTCACCTGTCGACGCTCGTGTTCATGAGCTTGTTGTTCTTAAACCCGGTCAGGTGGAAGCTGGCAAAGGAGCTCCTCGACATGATGGGGTTGCTTATGTCACCGGTCGACAGGGCCATGAGAGCGGCCGAGGGTATGCTCATGTTCCTGGGACCCGGACTGTGGGGCCCGAAGCCACCGGCCTCGAGAGCCGGGACGAGGCTGCGCGACATCATGTCAGCCGCCGAGCGGGGCCTCGTGAAGGGCATCGCGCTGTGGGGAAAGGTCTTTGGCTTGATGGGCGTGATGAGCATGTGCTCGGTCCACGAGGTCTCGAGGGACGGGCGCTCCAGCCGCTCGACGTCGACGTTCAAGGTGCGCTGGGCGAACGGCACCGCGAACGTCTCCGGGGGTATCGACTGCAGCCACGAGAGGAGGCTCAGGTCCGAGTCGCTGAAACCCACCGAGCCGTCCAGCAGCCGGGAAAAGCTCATCTCGACCTGTTCGCTCTCCTTGGACCCGGTGGCTTTGGTCTGGCAGTAATTCACGCACGACTCGTACAGTATGCCCTTGATGACGAGCTGTATGAGCCGATCGTTTTTCGCCACCATCACCGGGTGGCCGGCTGCATCGGTTTTCCTGTCGCCGGGCAGGAACTTCTCTACCAGGGGGTGCACCTCGCGGAAGCACTGTACTCGGGCGTTGCTCGGATTCCAGTCCTTGTACTGCAGGTGGTCCGTCAGCCTCGGCAGGGTCAGCAGGAGGCACAAGCTGCTGTACTCGTCCTTCGAGGGGGCGAATTTTTCGAGGTCGCTCAACACCTTGACCACCTCCTCGACCGCGTTGTCGACGCTCCCGTTCGTACCCGTGCCCATTATGTTGGCCTCGGACTTTATGCACAACAGCTCTACGTACTTGTGCCTGGGAACAACGTGGTTTCGTACACGCGTTGCTTTTGCCATTTTGTATATATATATATATATATATATATATATATATATATATATATATATATATATATGCGTTTTACCTGAGTATGGAGTAAGTGAATTTGCGCATGTCGAAATCGGGGAGGGCCTCGAGGGGTTGTATGAACTCGAGCACGTCGTCCCATTGGCCGTCGAGTATGAGTTGTCGGAGGAAGAGCACGTCGTCGCTGTATTGGCCATTGATGACGCCTGTCTCGCGTTCCAGGGACAACTGCGAGATGTGGAGGTCGCGGCTGTTGAGGAACTCGAGGGTCAACCGGACCACGTCCTCCTCGCGTAGCGTCAGCCGTGCCGCCGGCATCACGTAGCGTATACGTAACCTGTTGCAACAAAAACGTATTCCTTGTCAGAGTTTTTTTTTTTTTTTTTTTTTTTTTTTTTTTTTTTTAATTTTTTTTATTGGGTCAAGTGGTGCAACCACGTATGACCGCGAAAAATCAATACAAAGTAAGTTACAATAACGGAAGAAATACAAAAAGAAAATTACAGTGTAACAAATTAATTTGATAAATTCATAAACCAAAATATATAATTACATTACATTGTATATACATGTATACAGGTGACTTTTGGGTGGCTGAGCAGAGCAATTTTGACATATGGTTACCAAGAAAAAAAAAAAAAAATTATTCAAGCACGATAACTTGAGCTATCCCAATTCAATCGACTATGCCATTTAGAGGAAATCGGTACTCCATAAAATGCTTCAAACTGAAGGTATCTAATGTTTATTTGTAACGAAACCCCAATAAATTTTAAAATAAAAAGAAAGTTCGAGAAATAGTTTTAATTTCCCTACGCAATGCCGATGGATCATAAAACAAGAAGGAGAGAAAAAAGTAGGGGGGGGGGCACTTTACAATGCCGACGCGCCGATTAGTTTGCCCAGACAGCGAATGGATCTTGCAACACACGGCACGGGTACCATCGAAAATGTAAATCAGCGTGCCTATACGTGTGTATATTCTCCCCGAGGCCCATCCGGTGGGCAGAGAAAATACAGACAATCGCATGTGGCACGTCAGCTACATTGTATATACCCCCGCACACACGTGCACGCGATAGGGATCAACGAACCCGCGACTCTCTCTCTCTATTCTCGCATTCTTCATTCGGTGTGTCGCGAAGCGGCTTTGCGAATACAGCAAAAGCTCGGGTCACAGGTACTCACAGACCTATAGCGTACGCGCAGAGCTTTTCTTGGACGGCTCCGGTGTCTGCAACACTCTGGGGATATGATATATATTTATAGAATTTTCGGCGCACGGAATTAATTTTTGAGGTTTTTTTGGGCCCTTGACAAAGTATTTTCATTAAATTCGCCATCTACGTGCACACTTTGCGCTTTTTTGGGCACTGAGAAAGGCTGTCGAAAGCTCTTTCGAGTGAATTTACGAAAGCGAGGGGTTGACGAAACAAGAAAATTTTCGCTGATCGCTGTTCTTGGCTTCGAGGGTTTTTCGGAACGCTGGCTCTCGACGCGCTTTCGAGAACCACGCGAGGTTTCGGCAATTCGTTTCAGCAACGCCATTGTGTGACCCGAAAAAAAAACGGCTGCCATCGACAAATTTTCATCGGTTAAGGCGCGAGACTCGACGCAGTGGCTGGTCAGTCGGGAAATCGTAAGCGCCCAGAGAACAAGTGCAACTGCCGAACAATGACGCCGAAACTGTGGCTCTTTGTAAGTTTACTCTCGTGGTCTCTCGTTCACAGTGTCAATTTAATCAATTTCAATGTATTCGTTATTTAACAGAATTACTTGGTGACTGCGATTATGGTGTGTCAGTCCCAAGCCGAGCGAACAGATCCATCTGTAAGAATATCTCTGTTACCCAACTCTGATCAACTCGCTCAACCATTCCAAATGGATATGGTAAGCCAAAAGCTAAAGTTTTTTTGTTTTTTTTTTCAAAATCGACCACAATGTAATTAATGCTCGTAGGATAAAAAAAAATTCGACAATTCAATTGACTCTGTAATATTTATTTAGATGAATAGGTTCAATCAATTTGCAGAGGTACCTCAATATTTTATGCATCCGATGATGATGTATCCCTACGATTTTAACAAAAGAGTAAGTAGTAAGAGTAATACGAAACATACACGTTTGAGTGAATTTTGAATATGTACAATTATAAATATTTATTTTTAATGTCCACTGGATGTACAGTTCCTCCAGAACAGACGAGCAGCTCAAAGCGGCGAAATCGCGGAAGATAAAGACACCGAGGCCCAAAAATCTGTAGAAAAGTCCGAGATCGATCAAAAAACGACGGACCTGACAAATGAAACTGAAAAAGTGACCACCAAAAACGAGACGAAGAAACAAAAAACCACTGGTACGTGATGAGAACCGTATACTGTTTTTAATATTTGTAAAACTGGCCCTTTCACCAAATCAATTGAGCTCTTACGTAAATTTCTATTTGTTTCAGGTAAAATGAAGGAAAAACTAGTTAATTATCAGACCAAAGCTGTCACCTCCCTGAAAAATTTGGGAAACAAAACTCATCAAGGACCGAAGAGCAAGGGCAACTCGAAACTTTATCTGAAGAAAGAAAAAGACGCAGAAGCAGCAAAAAAGCCGCATAGCAACGAAACGTCCACGGCTGGTCCTCCCAAAAGCGACGTGAGTTGAAATGAATTGTGAATAAAAATTCGGCATCGCGATGCCAATTAACATTTGTCGAAGTTACAGACTGCGGGTCAGGAAAAGTTAGAGGAAAAAATGGACGGGTCGAAAAAAAAGACGAGCGACGGCGAGCGCGTTGCCAGCAGCCGCCACAAGGAGCCCGACCACGACGCGTCGATGGAAGAGGTTTTGGAGGAGTTCCGGCGCGTCCTGGGCCCCGCTCACATAAAAAAATTTTCGGAGTTCATCAAGGTGCCCAGCAACGACACGCACAACAAGATCATCCTAGCCATAGCGAGTAACTCCAACGAGACTGCAGACCTCAAGGAGCCGAAGGACAAGGTGAGACATACAATTTTTGCGCCCTCATGGTCCAATGAATCAAACAGCTCCGCTAACAATAATTAATCAGTCCTAGGTATTGTGACCACCATCAACGCAGTCTACCTCTGAAGTATTTTTTTTTTTTTTTTTCTACATTTTATAGGTTTTTACACGTTTTTTTAAAAAGTATATTGTTTTTCAATGTTTGTCTTTTTGTACATCCGAGCAAAGTTTTAATTTACGTGCGTACTCGAGACACAATAAAGCTCTCGTAAGCACTTGCATTCAAAAATAAAGTAACCGGCAAAAAAATCCACCCAAACGTTCATTCACACCTACAACGATGATTTCCAAAAGACACCGCCGAACCGTAAAGACGTACGTGGGGATACCCAACAAACGTCCATATAATACTATAGCAACGCAAGGCGCAACAGTACAGGTATACATACGCCCGTAGCATTGCGTGTGCCATTTATATAAAGTGAAAACAATAGCCCGCGGTTGCGAGAGGCTACAGAAATTTCGATCTTCAATCACGCCTAGCATATTATAACGCGAAGATCCATCCTATCGCGCGTTTCAACGAACATCTCGAGGATTCGATTAAAATTTTTCACATCCCTGGCGCTATATATATATTACCCATAACTCGTGAAAATCTGCACCAAACTCCGGTGTAACGGAATCGCCACAAAGTTAGTCCTGGTTGCGCAACGCGAGTGTTTTATCACTCGTCGATCAAAGACGATCCGATCAATCACCGGAAACCGTTAACTATTAAACACCACATATAACAGACGTACAATGGCAATAATAATAATAATAATAATAATAATAATAATAATAATAATAATAATAATAATAGTAGAGGTAATTTGATGAGCGACCGGGGCACGCTTGGGCGTTTTACAGCACGACTGTGTATACAGCGTGCATCGATCGGGGAGACACCAAAGTGACCGGTAGGTAAGTAATATGTAAGGGACTCGGTGACGAAAGCACGAGAGAAAGAGAAGCCAACCATCCATCAGCCTTGGAAAGGCTCCTCTATCGATTTCTCGGCCAGCTACTCCTCTCGCGTGTGGAGTAGTATATACGTCACACGTACGGGTAAGCCTCTATAAAACTCGTATAGTCGTCGGTCTCGCCGAGCGAATTCATAAGAGGACGATTAGCGCGGGTGCATCGCTCTCTTTTTTGAAAAACCGGCCTCTGCCGCTATAGAGCCTTTCATATGCGGCTCTAGCGGAAGATGATCAAAAAGAAATCGCGATGAATGGAGGAAGAGTTGTATATGGTATAAGTTTTCTTTTTTTTTTTCCTTCCTCCTGAAAAAATATTAATTAAAAAAAATTAATTGCCATTAAACGACGCGCGATTAAGAAAAAATATGCACGCGAGCTCGTTAAAATTATACCCCTTGAAGCGTGCGCGCCCGTATATACGAGTACCCTATACCCACGACTTGTACTCGGCTGCTTGCTCGACATTAAAATTACATGAGCGTCTGTATGACTTTTTCGCTTCACACGCATAATATTGTTATTATACTGCATTCGCGCGACACGTGGGTGTATAACTCTAAGTAACTTAGTTATGCGAGAGAAAGAGGTGGAATAGCTCGACAAAGCGTAAGAGTAGGTATATATACCTGTACCATTGATTGCGCAAAAGAGAGACTTTCGCGAGGACGCATTACAGTGACGCGAAACCAACACTTTGTGCGTGTGTACCTACTTACGGTGTGGGTCGCGGGCATAAATGTTGCTGCACTGGCTTTTACGTATTTATATCACGTGCAAACTAAATGCGTGCATTGTTCGTATACTAAGAACTGTCGGCGACGACGAGTGGGCCGAAGCGTGAGGGTGTCTGTTATACAAGTCGCATTGAAAATTGTAAGCTTATTGCCGATTTTCTAGACCATCATCGTTTCGTAATACGTGTCTTTGGGTAAGAGACAACGAGTGTGATGGGGTGCAAGTAATTTTTTTTGTTTTTGGAGGTGGCATGGTAACGGACCCGGTGTGGATGTTGAGTTATTGCGACCAATAAAAATACCATATTTACACGCACGTCCGTGGGTTTTTACATTTAATAATTTCTTATGCCTGCAAGTTTGAGGAAAAATAGTTGGTCAAGCAATAAATAAAATACAGTTCTCTCGGCATGATAAATCATCTCGCGCCTCCGTCCAGCCCTTGTTTTTCCTCAAAAACGTCAAATCCCGTCCCACGAGGCATTACAATAAAACCGCGATAATTCACCTTTTTTACATGGTCACTTGTCCTTCAGAAAAGAGACGTATACACACACCTACTTTGAAAAAAAAACCATAAATCCCCGACTAGTACCTTGAAAAGAAGCGCAACCTCCGAGAGTCTGCGTCAACAAGCAGCACAACTCGTTACTTGTGGTATACTAACAGCCAAGCTTTCGAGCCGTGCGTATACCTTTGACCCCTCCTTGCTTACAACCGACGCTGCACCAATGCAGTGGATCCTGTCAAGTGTACCGGTGGTTGCAGAAAAAAATACAACTCGAGAGATTGGAATCTCTAGAAAATCGCGGAACAACGGAGAGAGTCCGCGCATGTTTATCTGCTTGTATTGTTTATTGTTTGTTTGTCCCGAGGTATTTGGACAAAGTACGCCAGAAGCGGACGATGCTCCGGCGCTTCACAATTGGAAAGTCGAGCATTGCCTACCGGATCTCGTGCCCCTGGACAATTGGGGCTTAAATCGACCGGAACAATTAAGATTTTCACCCGCGTCGTCCTGCTCTGGATCTATACAGTATGTACACGCTTGTTGCGCAACGAGGATATCAGTCCACGCGCCACTGCTGCAACTACGGTTTTTTCAGGGTTGTTTTTCCTCTTCAAGTAAAATTGGACGTCCTTCCAAAAAGGGCGGGGTTTCTCATCAAGGTAATAGTACGCGTTGGAGAGGCCCTGAATCACGGGCAATCCTGACAAATCGCAGTCTGGGAGGCGGATGAAAAAAAAGGGAGCGCGTGCGCCGGGCAACGTGCCCGTGGAGCATCATCTTCGTAAAAAATTCAGCAGAAAAAAAAAAAAAGAAGGGTGGAAAACAAGTCACGATCGGGTTTCTTGTTCTTAATCTTTGATGCCAAAAACTCGGGGTCGACCGAACCAACATCCGTTTGCGTTTGGCTGAGCAGAAAAAAAAAAGAATATGAGCCGTAAACATGGGTACTTTTACCAAAAATTTCGAGCTGGGGTGTCTTTTTTTATAAATAATCGATGGTCCGGATTCCGACGAGGATTTTTCCGAAAAGCCACGAGATGATGTGAAAAACCACCGTCTCATTTTCAAATGGTGTATCCGTATATGCATAAACGAAGCCGAGCAGGGGAATTAAAAAAAAAAAAAAAAAAAAAAAAAAGAGAGAAGGAAAATAAAAGAAGAGGCGAACGGCCGGAACGCGAGAGCGAGCAATTTGCCGGGATCCCCTCGTTCTACCCTTCCATTGTGGCATTCCATTCATCCCGACCGTCGTCGTCGGCTCTTCCATTATCATCCGTCTACCTCTCTCTTAGCCTCTCCCACTTGTAAAAAGAGGAAAAAAAAAAATGAAAAAAGGAGAGAGAAGGAGAGAAATCTTGATTAAGTGCAAGTTAAGCTAGTCTAGTCGACAACAACGGGATGTATATGTCTATTCACTGCGATCGAGCTCAGCTGCGCCATGTATATGGGTACAGATCGATTTTTCATCACAAGCCATACATATGCATACAGGCGCGAGATGAGGATTCGGAAGATGGCACGTGTTTGTGTGGGGGTGCGATTAGCTTGATTGCTTTCGAGATTGCAATTTCATTTATATCCTATAGTAGGGAGCATATTATACGTATCCTCTGTTTTGTCTCTCGCGTCTCTCATTTTCGTTTTCATAATATTACCATTATTATTATACTATATATGCACCCGAGATGCCTTATTTTAAAATGACCGTACGTTTCAGTGTTTGTTCTGGATCCCTATACGCTGTATATGTCGTTATTTTCTCGCTCTGGAAAATTAACTTTGAAATTGCTTAATAATTCATCCTTCCTTCCGTGTAAGAAGGTATTTGTGTGTATATTTTACATCTCGCTCGAAATCAAAAACAAAACAAATAGTGTCAACCATATTTTGTCGTACATCCCTGCATCTTTACATAATCCAGTCGAGTGTACACGTGGATTATAAATATTACGTACACTGAGCAACCCAATTCTTTGAATCAAAGAAAATTTCTTTACCCTCAATCCGTTAAATATTTTCTTTTAATTGAAACAAATTTAGTCGATCCAAAAAAAACATTTCGTACACCTAAATGAGAAATTCGTAATTAAAAAAAGAAAATTTTAATTTAATAAAATATTATTTTCAATTAACTTATATTTTTTTACTCATAAGAAAATATTTAACGGAATGAGGGTAAAGAAATTTTTTTTGATTCAAAGAATTGGGTTGCTCAGTGATACAGTATGGTATCAAGATAAGAGAATCCCAGTGCATAATATGTATATCGACGCCGCACGAGCTGTAGGAAAAAGGAGACACGCCCGGGTTATCCGCTGCAGCAAGTGCAACGCGACGCGTGCCCGGCGTTGCGCCGCTAATTATCGAGAGCTGCAGTGTACACCCGAGCCGCAGAGAGAAATGGCCAACCGTGCGGTGTAAAAAAAAGCTGTATATCTTTCTATATGCACGTGAGCTGAGCTTCACCGTGTTACAGAACAACACGTGTAGGTACGAGGTAAGCACTTTTTTCGCCCGCCCCCCCCCCAACCCCTGTGGTATAGGGGAGCGCGTACGCTCCGGAAGTGTTAATATTTTTCCAAAACCGGGGAGAACGCGGTTCTTCAATTAAGTATAACAGTCGGTATACATATATACGCGTTGGGTTAAACCGGGTGCAATTCCGGAAACTGCGTGCAAGTGCGTACGTGCCTAATGTGTATATGTACACCTACTCATGGCTACCCGCAAATTGCGCGAGCTTTTCCTTCCCTACCCCCGCCGCCCTTGATATATACGTGCACGACTAACCCTTTCTTGTTCTTCTTCCACCGACCCTATCTAGCGTCAATCTCATTTCGCCTTACGTATAC